TGGGAGGCCGTATTGGGCTTCATTCCCTCCACTTTCTTATTTTTTGCTACTCTAAGACCTCTAAACCTACAGATTGTCATCCTAGGGTCTTCCAGGGTCTTCCAGGAGTCCTTCCGGCTGACTTTCCTTTGGTCTTCGAGAGTCTTCAAGCTTTATTTCCGACCCGGACAATTTTAGGGGTCTACAAAGGCTATCATCCGAATGACGTCCCTATATTTGTCCGTCGCAATTTATCATTTTTCTTGTAGTGATAAAATCCATCAAAAAGTTGAATTTTGCACAAGTCAAACCCCCAAAATCCCAAATCTCCATCAAATCAATGAAAACGTAATTAAATCAATATGCATGAAATTCATTACACGTATAAGACAATCATCACATATAAAACACATTTGAAACATATAGAAGAAAAATTCATAATATATAAATTAGAATAGGGAATTCTCCCTCACAATATACATGAGTAGACAAAAGATTAAGATTCAATCTCTCTATCCAACAAATAACGTACACCTCAAAGCAAGAATACTCATTTTTACCTTACCTCAATGAGTGCTAGACGAAGTTTGTAGAACTACAAGATTATCTCCAATTAGTTCTTCCATACCAGAGAGAAAAGATTTGATACTAGAGAGAAAAGATGTGTAAGAGTAAGATAAATGAACAATTGGACAAAACTTTAAAAAATCTCCCTTCTAAAGCTAACCCTTTTCTCTTTTAATAAATTAAAGCAATTAATAAAAATAATACCATAAAACACATATTTCTTAGATAGTCATAATCAAAATAAATAATTTAACAAATTTCCTTAATTAATTTAAAACACATAATTATAAAGTAAACATCTCAATTAAATTTCAAAACTCAATTAATTAATTAACTAAAACCCTTCTATTAATTTTAGAAAATTTTGGAGTGCTACGAGATTAAATAAAAAAATATTAAAAATGAGTAAAATATTATATATTTGAATCTACTAGAGTAGAAAAGTGTATGTTTTTTTAAGAATAAAATGGGAAGGCAAGGCACACACTATTTATAAAAATATGATAAGAATGACAAGTAGTAATCAATTTTCTTGGAAAAAAAAATTCAAAATTCAGTTTATGTTACTCAATTTTATATCATAATATTAAATTAGAAAATGTTGAAATAATTTAAATTTTGCTTGATATTAATTTTTTATTCATGAAAATTAATTTTATATTATTATGTGATGCTATCAATATATATTAAATAAATACTAAATTAATTCTACCTTTTTTTATTTTTATATCTAAGTTAATTTTTTATATTTTTAAATTTTTTTTACCAATAATTATAAATAACCTACATCATAATATAAAAATATTTATTTACTATAAATATTTATTGTGACATATTGATATATATCGAAAGTATTTATGTAGCATAAACTTTATTTGCCCTAAAATATTATAAATTTTAGTTATGTAAAATATAATTTTATTTTGTAATAAAAAAATACTAGTTATTTATAAAGTATTTATTATATTATTAATATTAATATATAAAAATTAACATTTTTATATTAATTAGAGACAGTAAAATTAGTATTTAAACATATTTCGGATTGAGACTAACGACCCTTTAAATTTCTAAAATGTATTTAATGTGACTGAAACTAGTGTACTTAAAATAGAGACCAACTTTTCTGATCTAAAAATCATTCTCCAATTACAGAGACGATAAATTGATCTCTAATATAGCACAATTAGAGACTGGAAATTTAGTATCTCAAAGAGGTAAGTAGTGACTGAAAAATCAGTCTCTAGATAGTTATATTTCTGTTAAAATCAGTATGTTATTTTTATGCGTATTAAGATTATGTCTAGAGTGTGCTTTTAGCAACAAAGAGAGTGATTTTTGTGCGTGTGTGTGTGTGTGATTAAGTAATGTTTTAGATTATGGTCATTAAAAATGGGGTCTTTAATAGATTTCAAGTTTTTAATGCCTACGGAGACTAACATAATTCTCTGTGAAGTAGTATAGTATATGAATTGGAATGGTATTTATTGAATATTTTCAATCTCTAAAGCAGTCTATATTAAAGAAATCCTTGTAATGATATAGAGAGTATAAAACAAAACACTCTTTTCAACAAATGTAAAGAAAGGGATAAAAAAGCATAACATTCTAAAAGAGAACTGAAAAGGTGAAAAGAAAGGATCCAATTCCATTGAAATATCTAAAGTATTAAGTAATGTGTTACCATTTTTCAAAACTAATTTATAGACTCCTAATATGCTATTCACCACCTAGTGAGAGAAAGAAAGAAGAGAGAAAAATATAGATATGATAGGTGATAGAGTTAGAGAGATAGAAAGAAAAAAAAATATTGGTAGTGTTTAAAAAAATTGCTGTCTAAATATCCTTTTTTTTACTTTTTTTTCACAGTATGGGTGTGAAATGGATGGAATGAGATGATAGACAAAAGAAAAAGCATAAAAAAGAGTGAAAACTAGATATGTAATGAGTGATCTAATAAATATAAATAAGAAAAAGGTATAAAAAGATGTAAGAGTGAATGTTAAAACAAAGTGAGGAGCATGATAAAGTTAGGAATAATGTTGGAGATCAGAACACTTGAATGGCCATCTGCAATTAAAGAGATAAAAGAAGAAAAAAAGTGGTAAATATAATAAGTAATATAAAATGTTAAGAAGAGAAAGATAGTTGAAAAAAATTAATTGAATGATATGAAATATGTGTTGATAATATTGAAGTGTTGATTCATACATACATCATCGATATAAAGTACCACTGGCTCCTCTGTTCAATTTGATCAAGTGGCCGACCCACCACGTGAATCTTCCTTATCACATCACGTGCAAGTTTTCTTTTGGATGTTGAAATTGAATTGGGCACATAAAACATGTGACTGAATTGAACGAGTGGCTGATAGATGCTGCAAGTTCCTTTTCGCATCGCATAGGCAGAAAGTTAAAGCCTACAAGCAATTGTCCTTGTTTCCTTAATAGGAGATGGCACAATGCCAGGACTAGTCTCTTAGTCATCCTCTCAGCCCTCTTTGTTCGAATAAGTGTTGGAAGCTAAATTAAAGTTGAAGTTTGGTACGCCGTGAATGCTCTTACTCTACTGTCGTCACTGGCCTAACTTGGTGCTCACAACATGACAAACCCTTTCAGTTACAATTACCTATGCATTTCATCAAATCTTTCACTGTCTATGATAAATCAGAACTTGTGTTTGTTAGCCACTAATTAACGTTCCAAAATGGTCCATGATGATGGTGATTACAGTAATATATTACCATGCATGTTTTCTTAATCGCAAAGGATGCGGTGATGGGGTGAATTTATGAGGCACATGGGAAAGCACCAATGCATGATGGACAAGAGTTAGGTTTCCGTCGGTCTTTAAAACGTTGCATGGCTATGCACAACAATGGGTAATATGGAAAAGCAACTTGAATTGTTAACAAACATAGCTATGGTTGCTATTCTGTGACCACGCGTCAATTTCTTGTGGCTTTAGTTAGGTTAGGTAATATATATTATGTTTATGGAGATTTTTCTTTTTCCGAATGTAAATGCAACTTCATGCCCATACATGCTTGGCTGTCTTTCCGTTTATATGAAGGTGAGTTTGACACTACTATCTGACCATCCCAAACGCGTCTTATGCGTGGTTACAGTGGCAAATTAGTATTTCCAACTTTAATCACAAACAGAAGAAAATCATTTTACTAACATAGGAAAGGAATAAGATGTTTAAAACTACCTATTTACAGATGTTTGGTCTACACCTATAAGCACATAATTTTTATTCTCTGAAACCCCTTCACCCAATAATTAAAAGTACTAATTTTGCAGGGTAGAAATCTTTGTTTAAAGTATATAATATAATATATAATCATTAGGTTTAGCGTGAGACAAAAACAAAGTTTTTTGAAATTCACGTACTTTTGAACAAAACAATCATGGATTGAGATAATAATAGGACTTACTATAATAAGTAAGCAAGGCTGTCACTAGAAATATATTAGTTTTGAAAGTTCTCAACCTTATCGTCTCTATATATAATCTACATAGCGTCTCATTTTATATAAAGCATGCAGATACAGTTTAATATAAGAGCTCGTATATATTACAGCACATAACTAATTTAGTTCTTAAATATGATGGTACGCAAAACCAAACATCCAACTACTTATATAAACAAACCTAATAATATGTTTTCAGCCATCCAGCTTTATGGAACTTAAGCACTTAGGTTTAACTTTATAATATATATTGTTATGTATTTAATCTCCGTTCAGTAATTGCATTGACCAGATATCCTCCATGCTCCAATAGTTGTTGTTCTCATTGGTATTAGATTGATCAGGAATTGTTGGGAACTGAGTTGAAAATGGTTCTAACATTCCTTGGTAACAGGGTGGAGAGTATGTCTCAATGGGCTCAGCCATGGTAGAAACTTGGCTAGTGCTAGCTTGGTGATCATTTGTCTCAGAATTACTCTGTTGCTGAAAGTTCTCAGCTTGCTTTATGTGCTTCTGGATCCTGGTCCTCCAGTAGTTTTTGATCTCATTATCAGTCCTTCCAGGTAGATGCTTGGCAATTTTGGACCACCTGCATTGTTGAATGATTAATTTGTTCATGACAGTGTCATGTAACAGAATAGTACTATACTGCTTTTGTTTTTCGATGAGTAAATATCGTAAAAGAAAATGTTTCATCTTTAAATTACATAAAACAAGTACATAATTTGTTCATAAACAATTTTTTTTTTCTTTTAATAATTTTTTATATAAAAAATAAATAAAACTCAAATATTTGAATAATTATATATCAAAATAACTACAAATTTTTGTCTTACTCTAATTTATAATCTTTATTTTTGTTAAAAAATAACAATTGAATAAGTATAGTCCGATACGCCTCTAAAAATCTAGAATGTTACTCGGTTGATGAAATGCGTTGTGGAAAAGAGGTCCCACGAGTTATGAGAGAAAGTAAGCTAAAACATCTGTGAAGTTTCTTGAAAAAGAAAGTATTAAGATGAAATTGAATTAATTTGATTAATAGTTGATTAAAAGTGCCTATATATATGAGTGCCACAATTTTTATTGATTAACTATAAAAATTGGCAACACCTATATTAAATACGACTGTGTCTGATGGAGGCCATGTTCAACGGTTGAGAATCAATGTGACGTTATGTTAGAATCACACTTATAAAACGAGCAGTGTTGAGGTACGTAAGATGCTGAATTTCCTTTGGTGTATGGAGATAATGCCTTTGCTTTGTAGCAGGGGCTCTCTATGACCAGAAAATCTGATTTCTCAAAGCATACCTCAGGTAGAGAGAGTATATATATATGGTTCAATTATTTAAACATTTCCTATATATTATCCTTTCCATCCATCCCTTCTTACATGTACATACACGCATACAATTTTTCTAGAAAATTTTAAACATGTCACCTTCATTTCTTTTTTACAGTTTGCCTCAAACTCGTTTCACTATCCATCTCGGTTTATTTCAAGAGAAAAGGCACGCTTCATAAAAGATAGTCATTTTGTGTATAATAAATGTAATATTTGAGATATTAGTTTCGATTAAATACTTTCATTTTGTCTTATATTATTAGTGGAAGATACTTTCATTTTCTTAGGCTGAGAGGGAATTTCAGATACTGCGAAAGGTACTTGATATATATATTGCTATGTAAGTCTTTTTTCAGTTTATATATGCGCTATGTAAGTCTATCTTCAAAGGGCTCTAAATTTTACAAGGACACCTGCCCTTGTTAAGAAGAGCCAAAAGTGTATGGTTTGGGTCTATTTTCACTCAAACTCTCTTTCATTCGAACTAGAAAGCTATAAAAGATATGCCCACTTCCATGAGTTCAACCTAAAGTAGATGGTCCTCTTGTCCAACTCTTGATCCTCGTTCACAAGGCTTATACCAAGAAAAACAGCTTTATATATATATAGATATATATATATATATATACATATATATATTATATTATATATATATATATATATATATATGCTAGTAATTAATTACAAATTAGACGCCCCTGTAGAAAATCAAAAACGGTTTTATATATAATTATATATGCTAGTGTTTTTTGTCAGCAAGAATTATAATCAAAGAAACAAGGTTTAACCATCTGACACCATAAACATCCTACCTCAATTTTACTGCTAGGCCGACCCTTTCAAAAAATAAAAAACAACTTTATATATAATTATACATGCTAGTGTTTTTTTCATAAAAATTGTAATCACAAAACAGGATTTGAATTCTCCCACTAGACCGATTTTAATGGTTCTAATTGTATATGCTTGTAAGAAAAAACCTTTTTAATAAAATCTATTTTTTATTAAGGCAATATTTTTATTTTTACTATGTACAATCATATTTTTCTTCCTCTAGCCAGCAATTTTTTCTTTTCCTTTTCTAAATTTAATTGATTTTTATTATCATGAGCGGCTTTTTTTTTTTTTTTTTTTATCTTATGTACCAAACCATAGGATTAAGATTTAAGAGAACTAAATACATCATCTTAAATATATTTTAATTATTTAAGAAAGTAATTATAAAATAATTTCTGTTTTTAATATAATACTTTTTTCCTTTTTCAATAATTTTTTTGTTTTTTTTTTCTTAACTAGTACCCTTTATTTTATTATTCTTTTAGGTTTAATAAGGAGGTGTACTCCTTCCCACCAAGTCAATTGGTCTAAATATAGGTAAAATGATATCTCTTATCACAACTTCATACTCAAATCGAAAATCAAATATTTGATCCTTGATTAAGGAGCAAATATACTAATTATATATATATATGATAAAAAAAAAGGCATGTTATGATTTTTTAAAATAAAAAACTCCTAAGAATCTTCCATACAGCCAACCTCCAACTTTTAGATAAATAATAATTTCTTACATGTCAAAAAATTATATTACAATTTGAATAAAAATTAAAATCTTGCATACAAATATAACAAAAAAGCAATATAAAAGAAGCAGAAGATTCAAAATGAAATGGAAGAAACAAATTTGTTACTACAAGTAGTTCAATACTTGAATTCTTTTGATCAAATATTGAAGTTTGATCTTCGTTTATGACATGAATCCCTAACTAAAACTAACACTTTTCCTCTAAAAATTGACCAACTTGGTAGAAGGTAATTATACCTCCAAATTATACTAGAAAAAGAAAAGAGAAAAAGCACTCTAACAATTATGTTAATTATAAATTTTTTCATTGTGGTTCTTGTTAGATCTAAAGGACCTCTCTTCGGCCTACCATATGTATGCATAATTGCATATGCAAGAGAGAGGAAGGGCGGGCGATTAATGCAACAGTAAGGATTGATGCATAATATGTAACCCTTTAGAGGAAAACACTCCAATTCTTCCATATGGATGGAATCAACACAATCATTTTAGAGGCTCTTAAAATTAACATATAGATTTTCTCCAAGACATATTTGAGGCCGTAAGTTCTACAAGCCCCCGTGTGTATTGAAACCTTTCTCTTGACTAGAGTTCTCTCCCCCACAACACTCTCTCGATCCCCCTTAAATAGTCTTCCAAGAATATTGTACTCATGTGCCATCTAGTTGGAATGCCTCCAAAACCAAATACTACAACTTAAAAGAGAGCAAAGAACTTCTTTCATGGCTCAAAAATAAAGAAGGGTTGACGAACAAATGTATTTTATGGGTATGAATATCATTCATGTGAAATATAAGACTTTTTATATTTTAATATAATGTTTATGTGCAAAAATATGTAAAAAGAAACACCTGTTTCCCCACTTTGCATGAAGCTCCATGATCAAAAGTTGTTCTTCGGGTGTAATATTCCCTCTTCTAACATCAGGACGGAGGTAATTTAGCCATCGGAGTCGGCAACTCTTTCCGGTACGTTTAAGACCTATTTAAGCACGTATGATGATGAATGATTCTCTTGCACCCTAGGGTTTAAGTTTGAACAAAGAAAGAAAAAATAGAAAGAGAATTCAAAGAGTAATAATTGTTGAAGAATGAAAGATATGTTTACCAGCAGCTTTGGCCAAAGAGTTCCAAACACCTTCCCCATGATTCGCAATATAGTTGATCAAGATCAAGTCTTCTTCCATTGTCCATGGCCCTTTTCTCACTTCAGGATCTTGAGATGTGTTGCACTGTTTTTTATCCATTATTTTTTGTGTGTGTGTGAGAGAGAAAGAAAGAAAGAAAAAGTGGGAGGAGAAGAGGGGAAAGATAACTTAATAATGGGGGTTGGAGGGTTTAAATAGAGGCAAGACTAAATGACTTGTTAATTGTAATGAAAATTTTCTATTAGGGATAACAAGATTTTACGTACCTAACTAAGTTATCATGTTAACACATGCATGGATGACTATGTTTGTGGTTTCCCTCGGCAAACTAATCACTACGTACTCTTAAGTCACGCACATGCACTCGAGCACCGGGTGTCAATACGTTTGTTTTTTTAAATAAGAAAATGAGAGGAATTATAAAAATATCTCAAGCCTCGTGTTATAAGACGCTTATGTGAACTGGAAAAATCAAGTGGCTTTACTAATTCAAATATTTAGTTTAGTTTAGAGATTATAATACAAATTAAATAACAAAATACACACAAACTTGGAATTATTAATTTGTTAAGTTGTGTTACGTAATAATTTAATCCGTATCTTACATCACCCTCGTTAGGAACAAAAAGTGGGCCTGGGCCAAGTTGTAACTCCCTTCTGATTCTCATTCGAAAAAATATACTTAGACATTAAGAGCGTGATTGAGAAGGTTGTCAAAATTATATATTTTAATTATTAGTATATTAAAAAAATGATTATATTCATAATAAGTTTTCTTTAGTTAAATTTTCTGAAAAATACTTTTAAGATAATTAAATTTGTTTAAATGCAACATAAAATTAACTTTTACGTAATAAATTAGTATCAAAAGAAAAAAAAACTATTGAGAAATAATTTTAAACTTCGATATTTTATGTTCTAAAAAATCAACTCACTTTTTTTTAAAAAAAATGTTGTCTACAAATATAAGTTGCCCCAAACAACTAACTTATTTCATAAACAAATTTTTCCCCAAAAAAAAAAAAACAAGATAAACATAACTCAATATTGAAAAATCATCTTTCCCAAACACGTCCTAAGAGTTGTATATAGATATAGAGATAGTAAAAAATGGGAGGTATAAATATGATATTTTATTCTAAGTTCATTTCTTTTTTTTTTTTGTTTATGTCAAATGCGTAAAATTACGGCTCTTCTCATTTGAAAAACTATAAATATTGACCTCATTCAAGAAAGAATTGAGTTAGAGAGAAGTAAGAAATAGTGTAAAGGCGTAAAATGGGTTAATCCACCCTAATAAATTTACTAAGAATTAAGTTCATATGGGTTCAACCCATGTTTTTTATTGGGTTGAAAATCTCGACCCAATCCAACTTGTGGTAGGTTGACAAATTGGGTTGGATTGATGCACCAATCCACTAAATGAAAATTATAAATTATCTTTATTTTATTAATTTATTTTAATTTTTAATATTTTATGATCAACTATAACTAAAAAATTGTTATGAAACTAGTAATATTTCCAATAATTCAAATGTTTAAAGAAGGCATGTACTTAATATAAGTCTAACAACAACAACAAAATAAGTTTACTATACAACTATCAACAACTTTATCAATAGCAATAAAATACATGCAAAAAATAAAATTATAATTAAGCCTTAATAAGAAAATGAATATTGTACAAAAAAAACAGAGTTAATAAATAAAAGTCAAAGATAAAAAATGGGTTAACCCAAAAGGTCAACTTGAAAAGGTCAACTTAATATAAGCTACAATTTAACTCGTTGGGTTGGTAGGTTGTATAGATCAGGTTATACATAGTTATATAGGTCAAGATGTTGAAAAGTACACCAACCAATCCATTTGGGCGAATTCATGGGTCAACTTGTAGGTTATTTCATTTTGACATTCTAAAGATGGGATGATAAATGTCATGGAAAATATAGAGATAACAAGAAAAATGAGATAAGAATTAATTGCAAGAAAATTATATGCATATTTATAAGTACTCTTCTTAATTTGGATTTACACTTCAAATATTACTTGATATTAAAATAATTTTTTATTCAAAATTTTTATCCTAGAAAAAGTTATCTTAAAGCCAAATCATATATATATATATATATATATATATATATATATCATGCAAGTGATGAAAAAGTAGGATAAATTGTTAAGTAGTCTTAAATCATTAAGTATTTATAGCATGGATAAATATTTATGTGACAGATAACTGAAAAAATTAATAACACTTAATTATATATCACAAAAAACAATTCAGATCATAATAAATTTTTTTGGAGAAGCTAAGGATCTCTAAAAAAAAAATAAAAATTAAAGTGTGATTATATCCTCGAATTTGACCCATAATACTTCACCTCGACTTTTACTTATTTTAGAAATACTATATGGTATTATGAGTTTACTAAGGATTTAAAATAAAAAGTGTTTATCATAGTATTTTAGTTATAAACTTAGAGCGACTCAAGTCAAAATATTTGCTTATATTAGAACACGAGAACTGTTGGAGAAAAATATATACACTAGAAGGGGGTTGAATAACATATATCAAAAGCTTATACTTTTTGCAGTGAAGTAGTAAAAGTTGTAATAGACAAAAAACATTGGAAAACAATAGAAAAAGTGACACAAAGTGTTTTATATTGGTTCATCTCAAACATAGAGACTATGTCCGATTTTAAATCCAACCAAATTGAGTTCCACTATCTTGTACAACATAAAAATATTCTTTCACAAGTCACTTTTGGCTCACCACCAAGTATTCTTTCAACAAGCCTCTCTAGCTAGGCTCAAATCCAAGTATTCTTTCAACAAGCCTCTCTAGTTAGGCTCAAATCCAAGTATTCTTTCAACAAGCCTCTTTAGGCTCAAACCCAAGTATTCTTTTCACACAAGTTTCTCCAAGCTCAACTCTTACAAATGAACTTGACAAGAATTACAGAAATAGCTTCGTCTCTTCTAGACGTGATGCTATTAAAATATAGCACAAATAGACTACAAATAAATATATATGAAGTTTACGGTGGAGATCTTCTTTGTAGTGTTTTAGCTTAGTTCTCAGAGCTTTTGAGTGATAAAATTTTTCTATTTACAGAGCTTTTTCCTTTTCTTTATGATGTGAATCCAGCCGGGTAAAATTGAAGACTAACAAGCCCAAAGTCATATGATAAAGAAGAATGATTAATGGGCTGGAATTTTATTAGTTTGGGGGTGAATAATTAAATAAGTCCATTATCTTATATTTTTTTAATGTAATTTTTGTTTTATTAATTTTATTAAATAAGTCAGATGGCTTTCCAAGTTACCTAGGCCAACATTTAGTGTTTTAGGCTTCTTAATGGAATTTAAGGAGTTAGTGGGCTAGTGAGGAGTCAAATAGCAAAAATAAGATAATGGACTTATTTAATTATTCACCCCTAAACTACTTAAATTCCAGCCCATTAATCCTCTTCTTTATCATATGACTTTGGGCTTGTTAGTCTTCAATTTTACCCAGATGGATTCACATCACTTTATAATGCCTCTTTTTCAGCCCCAGTTCTCTCTTTTTTTTTTTTTTTTGTATGAAGACTTTATCCTTATATAATTGCTTAAGAAAAGATGACCGTTGTAGGAATGATGCATTAAATGCTTATCAAAGATATGTGTATCTCTTATCTGATTCAGGCAGCTATAGATCATCATATCCTTCTATTTTGAGTGTGGTAGTATAGTGTCAGCGCAGGACAGTCTTTATAATGTCTTTTCCATGTAATTTGGGATTTTTTCTTTCTTCCCTAACACAATGATTTGACATTTCCTTTTTGAAAAGCTTTTGTTATCTACAAGGAAGATCTTCTCATTTGATCTATTAAGGAATAAAAAATTAATGCTCTTTAAGGATTATTTTGTTATTCTAACAAGAAATAAATGTGGCATTAATCTAGATGATGCACGTTGTCTGGTACACTTCATCTTACAAATGAAATATGTCATTTTCTTCATCTGAGATTGTCTCTTAAAAAACTTGTTTATCATAAAACCTCATAGCTACTCTAAGGGTTCAAGACCATATTTTGATTCTACAGAATTTCTTTCTGATCTTACAATCTCCCCCTTTTGATTCTACAAACTTTATTTCTAATCTTACAACCTGTTGGGCTTCTTTATTTTTGCAGCGTTTATTTTCAGTGTGGAGCATTTTCTTCTTTTTAACTGATTAAAAAAAACTTGGTCTTACTTTAAGTTACATGATTATTTCTTTATCATGTTTCTTCAATTTAGGGTTTTTAAGGCTGTCGCCACCGGCCCGAAACGGGCTTTCGGCATTCGCGAAGGATGGTTGGACTCTTTTATTTGTTTAAAAATATGGATTGCTAGAATGACTTATTCTCAAACTGAGACCTTGTCAAACGAGCAATTTTATTAAAAGGCTCACCAATCCATGTTAATCCCAAGCGGGACCCTCCATGGATTAGCGGTTTTCATAAAAAGGAAGGGTTCATGGAGTCGCCACCAATGTTTTACTCAAAACATTGGAAAAAGAAGTTTAAGGCAATCGATTCAAAAATCGACTTCGGCCATGACAACCAGAGTCGGGTAAGGGAGTCGGTTACGCGTGGGGAAGGTGTTAGCACCCCACAGCGCCCCTTTCGGGTTCCCTATGACAGATTATTTC